GGGCTTATTTTGAGGTAGGCCTTATATTAGGCCCACCCCCAAAATCAAGCTAGGGTTTATTTTGGGGGTAGGTCTTACTTTCAGAGAAAATCGGTACTTGTAAGGGCCACGGATTACTTTATTAGCCCAGGACTTTCTTTGCAGTAATATAGCTTCATTTCTTTAGAAAATATCTAACAATCAAGATTCAGTTGAGATTCATTATCTTATGAGATAATCTATAGATCAGTGTTTCTCAACCTTAGCCATTTTAAGATATGTGGACTTCCTTCCAGAATTCCCCAGGCACCCAATGCTGGAGTATTCTGGGAGTTGAAGTTCACACATCTTAAAATGGCTAAGGTTGAGAAACTTTGCTATAGATCAGGGGTGTCAAACTGCCGGCCTGTGGGCCGGTTGCATCATGCAGAGTCCGCGCCCAGCCCAGCTCCGGCAATGCAAAAAAAGCCGCGATACATCACGTGACGTGGCGAGTTTGACACCCATGCTATAGATGATACAGTGACTAAACTATGGGAGTAGGTATCTTCTGAAATGTGTAGTTCAGTGGTTCTCAACCTTTTTAATGCCGTGACCCCCAACCGGTCGTAAGTCGAGGACTAAACCGGTCGTAAGTCGAGGACTAAACCGGTCATAAGTCAAGGACTACCCAACCGGTCGTAAGTCGAGGACTTTCCCTGCCTGGGAGCGCCACGCATGCGTGGTTCCGCCCCTGTGCCGGCCGAGGCGTAGCTGGCAAGCGGCAGAGACGGAGCAGGCCGACCACCAGCTGGCCCAGCCCAAGGGAGGTAAGGCACCCGCCGGAAAAGGGGAAAAAAATGGCGGACAGCCTTGCTTGGCGACCCCCGTGAAATGGTCGATCGACCCCAAATGGGGTCACGACCCATAGGTTGAGAACCGCTGGTGTACTTGAATGTTTTGAACTGTATACAGATTTTATATTATTTGAGTCTGTGGAAGAAAAAAAGAAACACTGCTTGTTTGGAATTCAGATGAAAGGACTGAAAGCATTTGCTGCCTCCGTCTTTTTAATAAGCATTGTGTATACTGACAAGTGAAACAGAAGTTGATACATCATTTTGGATCTTAGAGTTACTAATGGGTATAAAAATAATAAAAGAGCCAATATATAATCAACAGATAAGCTTAGAAGACTAGTTTGCAAAATAAAGAATGAAGGGTGGGAGGTTTTTTTTTTGTTTCCATTCAACCAGTCTCCCACTAATCAAAGCTAGCATGTATCTATACCTACAATGAACTTGTTCTGACTTGTTTTGTCTGCCTTTATAAAATTAAAGAAGAATAGATACTCACCCAAGCATTCCAAACCTAAAAACAAATTTGAAAAAAAAAAATTGCTACAACATGTTGAGCGATGGATTGTTAAAAAAGCTACTAAGAAACACGGTGATCAATTATTTTTGTCAGGAAAAAAATAATGCCTCTTCTATTTTTTTAATTTTCTCCTCTCCTTTGTTGCTAGCCCCTTCCTTGCCTTCCTCCAAAGAACATGTACCTGCTTCAGTTTTACTATTGTCATCAAAACATTCCATTGGTATGAAGTGTCCTGCTTTGTTCTCCAGATAATGCTATTATATAATGCAGTAGAATTATATGAATCATATTCGAATGCTCAGAAAGTTAGCTTAAAAGATTGGGGAGAGGTGGAAGACACACAGAGTAATGAAAGTAAGCTGCCATCGGCATAAGGCAAAACTATAGCAGGTGAGCCAACGAACACGATCAGCTATGGCAGAGACCCTAATAACACACACTCCACTACTTCAAACCTTGGAAGCATGACAGCTGTGAAAAAAAGGAGTGCCAACAGGGAGAAGATATATACATGCACACACACATGCAAGACAGGAAATGCTTTAGTATGTATTAATACAAATAAAGCAAGAGATATTGAACTTAGAAAAGGACACACACACACACACAGAGTGGAGAGGATTGTATAGAAAGGGAATGAATTATTCATTATATTTAAAGAAAGATTGCCTTGGAAATGTTTGGTAATGCACTCCCTGTGTAGATTTAAATGCTTATTGTTTTCACGTTTAGAGCAACAGAAATTTAATTCAACATTTTCATGACAGTTTCTTTTTTAAAAATGCTTATTGCCAAAGAAACATTATTTAACTTTTGATGAGGATGCTTTATATTCAGAAAATATTGTTTAGTTTTCAAAGAAGATAAGCAGAATGATCTAACCATAAAAAGACAAGGGTTTTATAGCATGAAGAAACAATTTGGTTTAGTTTAGTTTTTTTTTTAAAACCTACTGCAGACAAAAATCAACCTCATAGAAAAGGGGGAATAAGATTAGATTTTATGAATGTTATAAACTCCATAGGACACCAGCACAATGTAGGTTAGGAAAGCCATTGTAGCAACGCGCTCTGTATGCAATCAGAAGCCAATTGTTAGTGGACTGTGTACAAGCACATACTGTGCTCAATGATCTGATGAGGTATTATGGATATGATGCAGAGAGACCTTGTGGATTAGAACCTCACCATTTGTTAAAAAAGTGAAAGCAACTTAACATTTACACTGAGCTTGTCTGAAAAGTGACTGCTCTTTGGATGGTAAGCTGAAGAGAGAGTATTTTCTTTACTGTTTTATTGCTTTGGGGAATTTATGGTATAGTTGAAAATTGAGCTGGGGTTGAGAACTTGATGTAAGTGCATGGGGGAATTTGCCATTCCTAAGTTGCATTATCTTAAATCTTCTACACCACACCTATGTTATTAATTCTGTGTGTAATGTGAAAAAAAGTTTATGCAAAACAAGTATATTATTATAAAACTTTAAAAAATGGAAGAGGAATAGCTTATTAAAATATAG